AGACCCCGCACTCCCTCTTGCCAAGCCGGGAGGGGAGCCGTTCAAATTCTCTTTCCTCTTAAGAAAAAGAGCAGTCACCTCTTCCCCGACCCTTCGTCTGTGTTTGTCATCATCCTGATTATCCCGCGGGTTGCGCCTTGGCCCAAGTAAAGGGCGCCAGCTCCGGGCCCCAGAGATCCAGAGACTTTTTTTCTTTTTAAAAAAGAGAAAAAGACCAATCTCTTCCACGAACCGTGGAAAAGGATACGGTGTCCCTAAGCAAACTTAAGGGAAGCATCTACCTACCATTTTACTTGATCATCATCAATCATCATCATCACCATGTCCTTTCAAGTCAATTCTGAGTTATGGCGACCCCTTTTCAGGGTTTACCAATTAGCGAATACTCAGAAGTGGTTTAGCTTTCCCTTTTTGTCCAGGGGTGCCCGGGGACGGTGCAGCTGGACCAAGGCCCCCCAGGCTGGCTCTTCTCCTAGGAGGCACGGGGTGAGGTGGGGGATCGAACTCCCAGCCCAGACACCTATACGGCGGACCTATCCAGCCAGGCACCGCGAATAAGCAAAACTTGGGGAGGGGGACCCGCTCATAACCCCCCCGGCCCAAATTTTGATGAAGGGAATCGACAGGAGCTAGAGGTTAAGAGTCAGGCTCCCGTGGGACTGATTACAATCACGCACGCTGCCTTTTTTCGGTGGCGATGTCCTGTCTACCTGTCAGGGGTGTTGGAGGGAGTTCTGTGCGTTCTTTGCGGGGAGGCGGACTACGAAGTAAAACGGGTTGCGATCCGGATCTCCCGGTTCTTTAATCTCCTTTCCCCCCCTCCCCCACGGTTCTCCTGATCATGGCTTGTGTCTCCCTCCTCCTGCCCCCGTAGACTCGGTGCCCGGGCGGCAGCCTTCCTTGCGTCCCCACGTGCACAAGCAGGCGGAGAAGACGACGCGGGTGCGGACGGTGCTGAACGAGAAGCAGCTCCACACGCTGCGCACCTGCTACGCGGCCAACCCGCGGCCGGACGCCCTGATGAAGGAGCAGCTGGTGGAGATGACCGGCTTAAGCCCCCGCGTCATCCGCGTCTGGTTCCAGAACAAGCGCTGCAAAGACAAGAAGAAATCCATCCTCATGAAGCAGCTCCAGCAGCAGCAACACAGCGACAAGGCGGTAAGGAAGTGCGCGGGCGCGCAGGAAGGGCTGGCTCGCCCTCCTTAAGCCCCCCATTCCAAAAAGCTCCCTGGATTTAGAGACACCCCCCCTCTGCTTCCTCAATCCCGGTCGTTTCACCACTCGCGAGATCCCAGGGCACCTCTCCTCGGGAGTAGCGAGTTCCACCTTATTGAAAGCCGGAGGGCGGCAGGAAAAGGATGGAACCGCAGCCTAAATAGGTTTGTGTCTTGTTGAAACCTGGATCAGGCCAGCTCTTGGGGCGGGGGTCTCCCCAGGACAGGCGGGCACCCTTCTGCGTGTGTGGGTGCCTACCTGAGGTTGACTAGCCGCTTATTTTGGGGGTGCAGAGGCCCAGCTGTTCTTGATTTAGGATTGATGCCCGGGATCATCACACCTCCATGCGGTTCCCACTCATATCATCTTGTCGATATGCAACAGGAGGGAGCGATAGTTTTAACCTGGGCTTCAAAGGCAGATCATCGGAGGTTGTTTCTGAGTAGAACCACCGAGTTTGTTTGAACATCTTCTGTAAAATAAGGATTTGGGAACGGGGCAAATCTTGGAAGCGTGGCTTTTGGGGACGGTCTCTCCTGACATCCCCATCCCGACTGGAGCTGAGGACCACGGTGGTTTAGCAGTGGATAGAACATCAAACTGGGGACTCAAGACATCTGGGTTCAAATCCCCGCATGGTCATGGAAATCCACATCCCTTGAAGCCCTGTTAGGAGTGTCCCTAAGTTCAAAGCCAGGACACATAAAGAGGTTTTTTTTTGGGGGGGGGAGTAGCGTTTTCAAGTTCTGGAGCTGAAAAAAAAAACTTCAGTTCATTGCATTTAAGCTGTACCGATAGATGCGAACTGGCATCAAGAGGACCAGGAGGACTTTGCAAACTCGACTTCCTCTTCTCCACCTCTTCCGAGTCCCTTCCCCGTTCTGCTTTCCTTTTCCCCATGGCTTCAACCCTCTAAGAACCCGGTTTTGGGGGATTTCAGAGGAAATCCATGGGCCTCTTAGCATGTCTGATTGATGGCTGCCAGATTATTATTATTATTATTTTACAACTGGCCTAGGATGACCATGTGAATGTGACAGAAAGGAGAACCTGCAGTTGGCATCAGTGGAATGAGAAACCAAGGCAGCACCTTTTCCCCCTTACCCCACAGTGCCTCCCCTCCCAAATCCCTCCCTTTTTTTTTGAAGATTTATTTCCCCTCTGTTCTAGGACATCAATCTTCTGGCACCTGGGAAGAGCTAGGGAGACATATATTGGATATATTTTTTTCCTGTTGTAGTCTTTTATCTTTCTCCCTTCCTGATCCTGGATTAACCCAGAGCAAATGGTTTTTAGCCCCTTGGTTGATGCATCTCTCCTACAGTGCCTCCCCCAAGCTGGTCCTCTCCAGGGATGGAGGACTACAAGTCCCAGCATTCCTAGCCATGCTGTGGGGGATTATGGCAGTTGTAATCCAACAGCAGGGTCCAGGGAGGTTATGGGTACTGTTGGATAGCTGGCTAAATGGTCTTCTCTAATTCTGCTTCCACCCCCTACTCCTTGGGATTCTAATTTATGTCTGCAATCGCATCTCCGCTTACATGAGAGTAACTCTCCATGAATTCATCAATGCTTATTTCTTAGTAGACAGGCTAGCATTATGTTACTATACGTGCTTTAGCTCTCTGGGGGTCTTAGGTTTCTCTGAATATATATTTTTAATAAATGTAGATCATTTCTCCCCAAAATCCATATAAATATAGATGGAATAATCTGCATCCCCAATACTTCCTCAGTTGACTGTAATGAACTCACCATTTTTAAAAAGAAATTTTCATCTTTTTATGTATTGTTGTAAATAGAACATATTTTCAAGAATGCCTGTCTGAAGGAGGCTGAAACCATCTAGATGCTTAATTGGGTGTAAGCTTCCACTTCCATGGGTTTACTCCCAAGTAAACAGATTTGTCAGTATATTTTTAGGCAAAGTAGTAAAAAATAATCTGTTGAACCAACAAATAGGAGCACTTAGAATTTCAATTCCTGCTTTATCTTTCAAACCCTGCAATCCTATCCGGACCTCAGAAAAAACATTGAATACTACTCTCGAGAACACATCTTACTTCCAAGTAGACATGCCTGGGATTGCATTGTAAATCTGCATCTGTGACACTGACTACATTTTAACACCAGAGGAAAGCAAACAGTAGATTAAAAAAAAACCCTACGTTTTTCATGCTTTAACAGGTCAGTTTCACTTCCGATGCCTGTATGTCTACTCAGAAGTAAGCCACTATGAGCACTTTATATTAAGTGAGCACATGAGGGTGCACTTCGTCCCCAAACTGCAGGATGAGGAGGATGCACCTCAGGAGCCACCTATAATTAACTAGATTTATTATTAGTCCCCGATGACATTAAGAGAGTACTTCACATTGTTGCCTTTTCTTCCTTTTGAGCACATAGAAAGCCAGATCCTTTGCATGTTTTGTCCAGTGGCAGCTGGAGATCTGCCTGGAGGATCGTGTCCATGAAAACTCAAGGCATTTTAAAAAAAGTTAATCTTATCCGTCCAACTTTGTTGAAACACTTTAAAAATCTCCATAACTAGCAGGCATGATTTGCTCAGTTTGAAGCAACGAGAATGATTTAAAATACATTTTTAAACAAAACTGAATTAAGCTCTAAGGAGAAAGGCAGGACATGGATGAAAGAGAATGAACACCATAAATAAATGTTGACACTCACTTTAAAAAAATGGAGGGGGGAACCCTGCTACGTACAATCTACCCTGTTTCCCCTAAAATAAGACCTAACCTGAAAATAAGCCCTAGTATGATTTTTCGGGATGCTCCTCATATAAGCCCTACTCCAAAAATAAGTCCTAGTTAAGTGAAACCCTCCCTCCACCCTTGGGCAGCAACCAGAAGAAGATGACAGGACTGTATTTGAATCAATGTAGAGGATTGTACATGAAAAAAAATAAAACATCCCCTGAAAATAAGCCCTAATGCGTTTTTTGGAGCAAAAATTAATATAAGACCCTGTGGAAACAGGGTAGGTGGGCTTACCCTCTTCCTTGACTCGGGAGGAATGGGGTGTGTGGTCTGCCTTAAACCCACTTGATCATCTGGGGATGGGACCAGGAGGGTGGTGTGTATGGAAAGTTTGCTGGTAGAGGGTGAGAAAAATTTTGTAGGAAGAGCAGAGGAAACTTTGCGGAACAGGCTGTATTTTGTGGGATGCCGGCCTCTACCCATCAAAGGCAAAAGTGATATTTAATTTCTATATAAGTGGCATGTTTTAATTTCCACTACCTTATTTTCACTGATCGATTGAACAGAGAAGTGGGGAATTGTTATATCATGGATTCAACAGGGAATTTTGGGTGGTATTTTACACTTTTATTGCAACCATTATGGAAACTAGGCTAAGGATCAAAACTCAAACCAAAAGGGCTGCACCCCATTTGAAGCTAACTGTTTTCAACTCCCTTCTACTGACCCAACTTGTATTTGAAGAAATAGATTGTAATCCACAAACACTCATGGTAACATTGGCTTGTTAATTTTAAGGGTACCACCGTACATTTGGGTTTTCCTTTTCTTACTTCCTTTCTTTTCCTTTCCTTTTCTGAAATAGACGGGCAGAGCTGTCTTTCTGAAAAATAGACCACCCAAATCCTTTTTTGCAGTTTAAAAAGAGTGGAGGAGAAATGTAAGGTGTGAAATCTGAGCAAGGTGGCGGAGCAAATGAGAACAAATCTCTTGCCCCTCCTCTCTGATTACCGTAATTTGCAGGCTGATTGCCAAACTGATCAACAGTGAATTGCAGATTAATCTTTTCTCCATTTTGAATCTGGCTCCCCAGTCACTTTCTACTGTTTCTTTGTTGCGCCCCTCCCCCTGGAATCGGTTTCAATCATTCTGTACCGTTGGGCATACTGATGGGATTTGTAGTCCAAAACACCTGGAGAGCACCATTGAAGGTTGTTGTGGTTGAATTTCTGAGCTGCCCTGATGGCAGAAGAACTGGTTCATAGTTCCTATTGTATTATCTAGCACAGATCCACCGCTGGTCCTATTTTTGGCAAGGCGGCAGTCTCAGGATGAATAATCAAGTTGTTATGAGTGTTGCCCGCTTGCAAGGTGGATTTTTACATTTGTTTATTCAGTGGGCTAAATATATAATAAATCTGTGATATTCTAAATACTGTTAAAACTGATGTCACAAATGTTCATAGAGCTAGATAAAAAGAAGAAGCCTACGAAGTAGTATTTGATCAAAATAATAATTATAGAATAGTTGAGGAGGGAACTGGAAATAAAGCTCCTGACCTCATATTGCCCTTATGCAGGGGTGGGCAACTAATTTCTATAGGGGGGCACATGAAAAATCTGAACTGTGTTTGGGGGCCGAACCAACTTTACTTAAAAATAAAAGATAAACAACTGATCAACTTTAGACAAAAAGCTATAAATGGTTTTGATGTTCAACTTGTTCAGTGAGAGAAATCCAATCTATCTAGGGCTTGAACAAGTGCTTGGACTGGAGCGATGACCAGCGGGCCAGACAGGAGCGGCTCGTGGGCCGTAATGCGTCCCTCGGGCCGCACTTTGCCCAGGTCTGCCCTTATGCATAGTCAACATTTACAACGTATGCTAATGCAGTATCCATTTCTTATCACTGACCCTAGAAGAGTATACAGCACAGTTGGAAAAGTTTGATCAAAATGATCAGGGGACTGGAGGAGCTGTTTGATGAGGAAAGGCTACAAGATCTGGGACTGCCTAGATCAGGGAAAAAAAAAAGCTGTGATTAATGGGAGATTTTGTAAGGGAGCATAAAATTATGCAATTCACTGGATAATTTTATCTGGATAGCTCAGTGATTTAGGTCTCTGGCTGTGGAGCTAGAGGTTGAGAGTTTGATTCCCCCACTGGGCCTCCTGTGAGTAGAGCCAGCCTGGGTGGCCTTGGGCCAGCTGCACAGTCCCAAAAGTAAGGGAGGGTAAACCACTTCTGAGTACTGTCTACTTGGAAAACCGTGAAAAGGGCTTCCATAAGTCAGAACTGACTTGTCAGCATGTGATGATGATGATGATGATGATGATGATGATGATGATGATAAAATTATGCATGGGGTGTAGAAAGGAGGTAGGGTGTCTCAGAATATTGGAAACCAGTTGGAGTTTGATAGATATGCAAGAGGAACCATGGAAGTTGTTGTGGCTCTAGAGCATGTGCAGAATGCAAACACAAACTGCATCAGAAAATAATATGTTCTGTAATGATACTCAGTAAGGATGGCTCACTGAGTCAGGATGTTACAGGCTGTCGTTGCTCAAGGGGGCTACATTAAGCAAAGTAAAAATAGCCAAGGCCGTCCTGCCGTTAATTTTCCCGGCTCAACAAAGTAAGTCTTTCATTAACTTAGTGAAACTACTTTTTAAAATTACTGTATAGATGTTTTCGACGGCCACTGATAGTAGAAAAGTTTGCCTTCAGTTGTGGTCATAACACCTATCATACAGCCGGAGAGCACGCTCAGGAGAAAGTCCCTAACTGTTATCGCTCGATCAGCTTTGTGAACCAAATTGGTGAATCCAGAATATATGTATGCACCAAGTTTGAGGTCTAGAGAATCTCCCAATACAAATAAGCATAGAAGTTGAAGGATCTCGGGCTTTTCTTTGAAGTGGAAACAGAATTTGGGAAAAATCAAGAAAAATGTAGCCAATGGAAAGAGTGAGGGCCTCATTTTGTGTCTAGACACCGAGATGCAAAAACACCTTTTTCTTCTGGGGGAACTCAAATCTTGCACACCCTAATTTGAAACCAGGAAGAAGTCTGTAAGCAGACAAAGGTACCCCTATATTTGAGTTCCTTGGTAACACACCTAGCATAGCGCCTGGGGGCAGAGAGGAAGGTAAAATACTTGTTATTAAGAGCAACTCAGAAATCCAGCCTCCCTCCCACTGTGTTTTAATTGGCTCTCTGTCCAGGTTTGGTTTGGTCCTAACTGTAGCTACTTCTGGGAGGGCTTAACTACAATACAGTAGCAGTTTTTCTCTCTGTCACTACCACCCTGTCACCAGATTGCTTTGATGCATTTCTAATTAATATGAGGACTCAGTTAGACAGGAATCTTGGTCCCTTTTGCCTAATTTGGGAGGGGCATACCGCTCCCAGCCTAGTCTTAGAAGGGGTATGAATCCCACCACCAACAACAACCCTGTTCTGGGGCCCATGAACAGATCTGTATCTCATACACGCATGTTAGCCGTCCTGGAGTTCAGGCATGGAGAGAAGCTTAAGAAGAAAGCCACAGAACATGGAAAAGTGACTTTTTTGTATCACAGTGCCTAGAATCCCTTAAGAGCCATGCTAGCTGGTGAATTCTGCAAGTTGTTGTTCAGAATATGACATTGCATCCTCTGAAAGAGCATCCGTAGCTGAATGACAGCTGAATCAGTCTTGGTCTCCCCACTGGAATCAGGCAAACCTGTCTGATTTTTTCTCTCTGTCTTTCTTCCCCCCCCCTCCAAAGAGTTTGCAGGGCTTGACTGGAACCCCGTTAGTGGCTGGCAGCCCAATCCGGCACGACAGCGCGGTGCAAGGTAATGCAGTCGAGGTGCAGACCTATCAGCCGCCTTGGAAAGCGCTCAGCGATTTTGCCCTGCAGAGTGACTTGGATCAGCCGGCTTTCCAGCAACTGGTAAGAGATGGTGGTGGGTGGGGTGAGAGATCTGAGCCCCCTCCTGGAGAATTAGAAGGACATTAACAGCGTTCCCTACAGGGCTGGGTTGGGGGTCACAACTCTGACTTCCTTCTGAGCTTATAAAATTTATTTTTTTAAAAATACGGCACCTTCCAGATTCCCCCAACTGAAATGGCCAATCCAAAATAATAACACTCCCAAACTTTTTTTTTCCTTTCGTCATCATTGATCATTTACCCAACACAAGATTATATGGGTCTTATTCTAGATTGATCATTCTAGATCAGTGGTTCCCACCCTTGGGTCACCCAGGTGTTCTTGGACTGCAACTCCCAGAAACCCTGGCCAGCACAGCAAGGGGTGAAGGCTTCTGGGAGTTGCGGTCTAAGAACACATGGTTGAAAACCACTGCTCTACAAAATGTCCAGTTGATAAGAAATTCAGAAACCGTTGTGGGTCACATGAAAGAGGTCAGAAGATGTGGAATGAAAGATCCACCTGTTTTTACCATTCCATCTCCTGTTGGCCAATGGAGGTGAACTATAGCCATTGAAAAGTGCCCTGCAATAACCCCATACTCGGGGGTTCTTGGTGCACCCCTCCACCTGTCCTAATATGGTTGCCGTAGTGGTGGGTCATTTAGAACTCAGTGTAGCCGTAGATGTGGAAGAGCCTCGTGGCACAGTGGTTAAACTGCAATGCTGCAGTCAAGACTCCTCACAACCTGAATTTGATCCTGACAGGCCCAGGTAAGCTGCTCAAGGTTGACTCAGGCTGCTCTCCGTCCAAGGTCGGTAAATTGAGCACCCAGTTCAGTAGTGGAGTTAGGGCTGGGGAAGCGGCTGAGGTTGTACAGAGAACTGTCTGTGGTGCAATATCCGGAATGTTTCGGGCCATGGTTAGGAACTATACGTTGGTGCAGAAGCGTCCTTTGGGGACACTAGATCAGTCCTTAGCTGGGCAAAATGTGAGCCATCATATGACTCACCGGTGCCTCCAGATGAAGCTCTGGGCCTCTTTCGCTGGACCAGATGTTGCCTTCCACCCCATTTCCCTTCCACCTTCCCTGACCTGCTTCTCTCCCCCCTCTTTCAACTATAAATTTGTTAAGAAGGAAATGATTGAAAAACTGAGCAGTCTGAATAGTTGGTCTGAGGAACTCTTTGCCTGGAAGCCCTCTCAGAATGGGGAGTGATGGATCTGAAAAGAACAGCCTCATCTAAATGTGCCACAATGAGTTACGTCATATGGGATACTTTAACAAATCCCCCCACTTTTTTAAAGACATAGCCTGAAAAACACAATGGGTTGGATCCAGGTTCAGTAAGAGTAGACCCAGTGGAGCTTCAGTTCATCAACAGCCACCTCCCTAAAAATGTCTCCACACCATATGAGTCTCACTTGGATTTAAACTGGAGGCTGAGGGCTGCACACCAAAAACCTACATGAATGGCTAATCTGTGCTGAATTGTGAGCAATATGACATTAAATGGACATGCAGAGCAGGAGTATTGCCTGTAATTACAATTCATGTGTTGAATGTTTGCAGTCCTTTCATGGCTTGATGAACTCTCCATGGGGTTGCAAAGGGATAGTGGAGGAGTCCAAATTTTTTGCATGCAGAAGATCCCACGTTCTGTAATCAGCATCTCCTGAATGGCTTAGGAAAGGCTTCTGTTTGAACCACAGGCAGGGTGTAGACCAGAGGTGGGGAACCCTTGATATTTACAAGCTTCGGGATCTGGGGAGACATATTCTACTGTTGAGCAAGGGCAAACCCAACAGGTTAGGGCTTAAAATAGCAATATCTTCTAGTTTATAACTCTTATTGACACTGGCTCCCTCTGGACAGCTTAGGAGAAGCATTTCAAATCTTCAGAGGAGGCAAAAAAAACTCTACAAAAGCTTAGAAATAACCAGTAGAGCAGTGGTTCCCAACCTTGGGGTCTTCCAGGTGTTCTTGGACTACAACTCCCAGAAATCCCCGACAGCACAGCTCATGGCAAAGGCTTCTGGGAGTTTTAGTCCAGGAACATCTGGGGACCCAAGGTTGGGACCCACTGCGGTAGAGTGATGGGAAAGGATATGCAGCTGTCTGCAAAATCCCTGGGGACCAAATTTGGATGCTAGAAAGGTTGGATTCAGCCCCCGGGAGCAGATCTTTTTCCCACCTGCATGTAGAAAATGTTCAGCTAGATGACCCAATGCTCTGTCTTAGTGAGAGGTAGCTTTCCTATCAATTAGCTGGCTCCTGGCCATGAGCTTTGACAATACGACGCGCTGCCAAAATTGTACCACAGCATTCCTGTTGCTCGTGCCAGCGCTGAAGACAGGAGCTGGGCTAATTGAAATTAACTGGCTTAAAATAGAGTTGTCCTTCTCTATTTCAGTGGGTCACGACGCAAGAGTGCTGATGGGATGCCCCTGACGATGCAATGTTAATTATAGCTGACTGTTTAGGAAGGTGGATGTCCACCTAGGGCTTCTCTCTCCCTCTTATTTTCCTCTCCTAATGGACTCTTTCCTGTATAGCAATTGTGCTCAGAAGATAATCAGACAATGAACCCCAGAGAACATTTGGTTAAGGCCCTAGAGAAGTCAGACGGGTGGGCTGCCTGCACGGTTAATGCATTGTTGGCTGCCACCAAAAGAGTGGTTTGATTAAATATGGGTCCCCGACATCCATCTTTGTAAACAGTGGCTGCGTAGGTGCTCAGGATCACCGCCTAGTCAGAAAGTCAGGAGGCATCTGGATGGTCTTGCAAATTCCTGGCTGTGGCCTTCTGCCATTGAAGGGAAAGTTCAAGTGGACTGTCCGGTCTTAAGATACCCGACTGTCCTGTCTTGCTGTGGACGGAGCAGCCCTAAAATGGCTTAAAATCTATAGGACTTCTTGGAATCCTATAAGAAAGCAGGAGTGGGGCAGCAGAGAGTGGGGTGCTCATCCAGGAATGGGCAGCTCTGAGATTTAGCGCTATCCTCCAGAGCATGTATAATAGGACCCCCATCTGCTGGGGACTGGTTCCAAGCCCCACCCACCCCGAAAATTGAAAACTGGATAATAGAGACTGACCTACCTACCTACCTACCTATTTTCATATGCATTACCAGAACCGGTCACTAGAGGCACCAGAGACCATGTGTTCTTCACTAACAATTATTCATTGCATGGTTTTTATCCATCTAGTGGCCTGTTTTGGTAATACATATGAACATATTTTTAATGGATTTTTTAATTTAATATTTTCAGACCATGAATAAATGAATCTGTGGGTACTGATACCACACATACAGGGGGTCCTGCTGTATTACTGGATTCCTCTGTCTAACCACTTGCTTTCCCCCCTTTTTTACTCCCATAGGTCTCTTTTTCAGAATCCGGCTCCTTGGGCAACTCCTCCGGCAGCGATGTGACCTCCTTGTCGTCCCAGCTCCCCGACACTCCCAACAGCATGGTTCCGAGTCCCGTGGAGACGTGAGAGAAGAGGGTCCCTCCGCCACCCGCCCAGCTCCACCACGCCCCCGGACTTTCGCATGCCCCTGCTCCCTTGCATGAGATCTCCTGAGCTATGTGCAAAGTCAACTCTTTAAATTATTACCTTTATTTAAAATCTTCGTTCTTTCCTCATCCATCTTGGCTGTAATCGTTCCGAGCACCAGATTCAACCACCTTTCCTGAGGCCTCAAAAAGCAGGACTTCTGAGGGGTGCCATTTTCTTTCTCCATAAGTACCTCTGGATTTTACTAGAATTACACCCAAATCACGTAATGATAGTTTTAGGATCCAGTTCCTTTCCCCCCCCCCCTTCTGCCTTGTTTTTACTTTCCTTGGAAAGAGACAAGCCGGACGAGTTTGGAAATGCTGTTTCTTCCTTGATTTGACTTGGTCCGGATCAATGCCATCATCTCAAGACTTTTATCTCTCTCGTGTTCATCTTGATCAGCGCCACGTACTCCTCAGAAATCATCATGCGTCTGAATTCACTCCGTTCGCCACCGAACTACGCCAGGTGACTGGAAAAAACTTGAAGTTCTTTTGTTTTGGACGAGTGTCTTTCTTTGTCTGTCTGTCTCCTCCTCCCTGTTCATCTCTGTTTCCAAGCCTGCATGATTGCTGGAAAACCTTCCACCGGATTAAGTGTTTTTTTTCCCCCCACCTTCCCCTCTTTGCCAATATTTAAATTACCTTATGGATGAGGTATGGCTGTCCGAGCCTTTGCAGACCAAAGTAAGTTATTGTTATTTATTGTGACAGCAGCAGGTTAATGGTGGGATTGATATTTTGACCTTAATAATAAAAAAAATTAACAAATACCGATAATATGAAAGTGATACAGCCTGCGAGTTTTTACTTGACCTTGGAAGAGCTAAAATTAAGAGAAGTCCTGCTGTGAAATATGGTAGCTGGGTGAGCGTGTTTTGTTTTATTTTAGAGAGGCACAGCAAGAATTAAGGTCATTGCTTTGCAAAAAAAACGCACAAGCGTGGCTGGTGATCCTGGATTCACAAGGGTAGTGTATTCACTTTTAGCTTGAATTTTATACATGCTGCGCATGCATGCCCAAACATGAGCAGATTCTGTAAAGTGGAGCCTCAACCTAGAATCAATTTGTGCTTCCCCACAAGAGCCAGGAATGACAGTTCACCGTTTCCACTTATTCTTCCTCTGTTGCCTGCTCTACTAGTCATTGCCCCCCACCGTTTGGACTACAATTCCCAGAATCCCTCTGCCTGAGTCAGACTGTTCTTGCTATTCCTTGTATGCTGTGAAGCTGTGATTTCCTGAATGAGAGGGTCCCCGATGGAAGAGGAAGGGGGTACCAGGTCCATCTTGCTCTTCAAAATTTCCCCAGTGAATGAGGAAAGGGGATTTTTTGGAGAAGACCTTATTGCAGCATATGGTCCCACTGGCGGCGCTGCTCAAAAACTGAAAGGAAAAAAGAAAACAGGAAAGAAAAGGCTCTCAAAAGTCCTGAATTTCTTCCGACGCCCAATGTGTTTGGGGATCTCAAACACACAAGAAATAAGCATGTACACTCACCAATGGAAAACATTACGAAGCATATGCCATAGCCGCCTAGCATAGCCGCCTGGAGTGGTCCTTTAGGCCAGATGGGCAGGGTATAAATCAGGGAGCACATGGAAAACATTACGAAGCATATACCATAGCCGCCTAGCATAGCCACCTAGAGGGGTCTTTTAGGCCAGATGGGAGGGGCATAAATAAAATAAAATAAATAAATAAATAAACGAGGGCAAAAAATTTTTAGGATAATCCAGCCAACTCCACACTCACCGCCTGTCCTACCCTAGAGGGGATAGATTCAGTTACAATGATAAGAGCCACCGGTTTAACGCTCCTTCCTCTGTTCAAGCAGACAGGGAAAGAAAGAAAAATACTCTGGATTTCAAAACGGGAAAGCTTGGTCTGGGGGAAAATCTTGAAAATATGTCATTACTGGATGTTTTTAGAGGAGGACTGAGGATTATTATATTGGGGGGGGGAGAGGCAGCCAAAAAATTAAGGGACTCTAGCAGGTTTCCCTTTAAGAGGCTGAATTATTTTTCCACAGCTGTGTCTATTTGCAGGCAACGAGACCCGGGCCATTTTCCCTCCTGTTTTCAGTCTGTCTCCACAGGAGCAAGGAGTGTAAGAACCTGTTGGTGTTTTGTGAGCAGAGAAGGACGTAAGCATGCTTTAAAAATCCCCCCCTCTTCTTTTTTTTTGCAGAGAAATGTGTGTTTAGAACTTCAACCTTTAAAAAAAAGCCTGTGTAGGAGACTTCCAGGGGATATATTTGGTTTTATTCTGAATAGTAAACCGGGTTGGCCAAATTGCCATGGCAGCGTCAGAGGGAGGAACAGCCTGGTTTTTTAGAAGAAATGATTGTGTCTGAGAATAATGCCTACTTCTGGGGCAGATTTGGGCAGCTGGCAAAGCCAACGCCCTTGAAAAACCCATGGCTTGGTTGGCGCCAGAGGTCTGCCCAACTCAACCCCTCTTTTGTTGTTGTTGTTGTTGTTGTTGTTGTAGGGCGGAGATTCGAGCTTCTGGGGAAAAGTCTGCCTGTCCTTGGGCGGTGGGGGAAGAATTGGGAAACTTTTGGGTCACCTCTGAGGCCACGATGAGGTGGCAGAACGTGCCTTTGCTGAGGGCGGTGGGGTGGCACGCTCGTGAAAGGTCGAGAGGGTGCCCGGCTGGCTGTTGTGGGCAAGATGCTGGGAGGAAAGTCTTTGGCTCATCTTGGCTCCGTGGCTTTTTTTTAAAAAGCACATTTTTAAAAAAGCTTTTGAGCTTCTGCTTCCATAGAATGGCACTCTTTGGTGCCCCTGAGGTGGGCATGAGGGCACTGAAACCCACTCGGCATGCGGCGCAGGGAGGGTCTGGACCTTCAGAGAACCGCTTGGCATGCCTGCCACCCTATCTGCTGTCGTTTCCATTGGTTTTTACTGGCAAAAGTTACTTTTCCCCATTGGAAATGTATGTATGTATGTATGTGTGTATGCATTTATTTATTTATTTATTTATTTACAACAATATTAAAACTTAAAAAAATTAAAACGGACCGGATGTGCCAATCAAGGAGAAGTCGGGCGGGGGCTTCCTCGGTTTGAGGGTACCCTAGAGAGGAGGGCACTGGACGGTTATATGAGATTTCACTGACCTCTTCTCTGTGCGGCCAGGGAGAAGTGGAGATTTTGGTGGGATTCGATGCCTCCAGGTGTGGCCAAATGGGGTTTCCAGTCTTTGTGGGAATTGTCATTTTTGCAAAAGGAAAGAGGCACTGAAATGAAGGGTGGGTGGTGGTGGGGAGAATTATATGGCAGCTTTCAGCTTAGTTTAGAAGAACCTGTTTCAACGGTCAAGGTTAAGCATGTCGGATGAGTTACGGTTATCAGTGGTAAGCGGGAGTGGGATTCCAAAATGGTGGGGGTCTCACCATTTTGTGTGTGTCCTCTGCGTGTGTGGCGAGGGGAAGGCCTTCGCCTTAATCGCTTGAAAAGGGTGGGCTGAGGATGGGGTTGCTGTTCTAGCTGTGTGGGGCTGCCCAACGCAGAAGGAGTATTCTTTTTTAAAAAATCACGTTTGTGGCTGGGGTAGGGGGGCGTCCATGAATACAAGAGCCATCCACTCTTCAGACCATCGTTTTTTGTTCTTTTGGAAGGGATGATGACAGGAAGAGGTGAGAGTCTGGCGGGCTCCTCTCAGCTTGTGGAAAACGCTCACTTGATGAACGAGTGAATTAATGTACGGTGTTTTATTGGACTTGTTTTGCTGTGGAGTACAGTCACGCCCACGTCGCTCCAATGTTAGAGAACCTATTGATTTTATCAGGGGCTGTCATGTTATCTTGAATAAGATCACTGTACCGCTCAGCAGTTTTTTTTAAAAAAAACCTTGTTGTCAATGCTAATTATTGAAGGGGGAATAAACTACTGGAGCTGGCTGGATAACTCGGTGGTTTACGTTTTTGGCTGTGGAGCCAGAGGTTGGGAGTTTGATTCCCCCACTGAGCCTCCTGTGAGTAGAGCCAGCCTGGGTGGCCTTGGGCTAGCTGCACTGTCCCAGGACGCCCCCTGGAGGAAGGGAATAGCAATGTTTCTTTAACTGGAAAACCCTGAAAAAAAATCACAGTAAGTCAGAATTGACGGCACATTATTATTATTATTATTATTATTATTATTATTATTATTATTATTATTATTATTACATAACAGCACTGCTGTTACT